TTGATTATAATGAAGTGTTTTCTCCAGTTGTTAAGCACTCTTCCATTAGAATTTTGTTGGCCTTAGCAGCACAGTTGAATTTGGAGCTAGCTCAACTTGACGTGAAGACGACGTTCTTACACGGAGATTTAGATGAGGAAATCTACATGACTCAGCCAGAAGGATTCAAAATTTTTGGAAAAGAGAATTGGGTCTGTAAGTTGAATAAATCGTTGTACGGACTGAAGCAATCTCCGAGACAGTGGTACAAACGGTTTGATAAGTTTATGATTGGGCAGAAGTACACACGAAGCAAACATGATCATTGTGTGTATCTACGCAAGCTGCAAGATGGATCTTTCATTTACTTACTCTTGTATGTGGATGACATGTTGGTTGCATCAAAGAGCCAAGTGGAGATTGATCAGTTGAAGGCTCAGTTGAACCAAGAGTTTGAGATGAAAGACTTGGGGGAAGCTAAGAAAATTCTCGGGATGGAGATAAGTAGGGACAGAAGGAGAGGCAAGCTTTGTTTGACTCAGAAGCAATATCTGAATAAGGTACTACAGCGTTTCGGCATAAAGATGAGACGAAGCCTGTAAGTACACCACTTGCCCCTCATATTAAGTTAAGTGCCCAATTATCGCCAAATTGTGATGAAGAACGAGAGTACATGGATAGAGTCCCATATGCAAATGCAGTTGGTAGTTTGATGTATGCGATGGTGTGTACAAGGCCCGACATTTCACAAGCAGTTGGTGTTGTTAGCAGATATATGCATGACCCTGGTAAAGGTCATTGGCACGCTGTGAAATGGATTCTACGGTACATTCATAATACTGTAGACGTTAGATTAGTTTATGAGCATGATGAATTTGGTCAATGTGTGGTTGGATATTGTGATTCTGACTACGCGGGCGATTTAGATAAGCGAAGATCAACGACTGGATATTTGTTCACTTTTGCGAAAGCTCCAGTCAGTTGGAAGTCTACCTTACAGTCAACGGTTGCTTTGTCTACAACAGAGGCAGAGTATATGGCGGTTACTGAAGCTGTGGAGGAGGCTATTTGGCTTCAAAGTTTTCTTGAAGACTTGAGAGTTGGTCAACAGCACGTCTTAGTGCATTGTGACAGTCATAGCGCTATTCACTTAGCGAAAAATCAAGTATTTCATGCAAGAACGAAGCATATTGATGTTCGCTATCACTTTGTGGGGGAGATTCTAGAAGATGGAACCGTTGTGTTAAAGAAGATCAAGACGACGGAGAATCCTGCAGATATGATGACCAAGGTAGTGACAACAGTCAAGTTTGAACATTGTTTAGACTTGACCAAAATTCTGCATATTTGAGTTGGCGTCTTGAGGCGCATTTGGAGGCACCGCCAGCAGTTGATTTGGATTGAAGAGTCGAAGTGGGAGAAAAATTGGTCAAGGTGGAGAATTGTTAGTTTTTGATTAATTGTTTGTCCCACATCGAATGTATACCAAAGATGTGTAGGATCTTATTAGTATAAATAGGTCCCTTCCCTTTGGGTTACAATTGCACCTTATTCTATTCTCTCCTCTCTTGGTAGGAAATCCTTAATTAAGGAAATCCTAATTTGTGGGTTATTTAACCCTAGTTGTATTTTGTTGGTGAGTTTAGTAAATTTGGCGTTGCGGTTGGCGGTGCCCGGAGACGTAGGCTATTTTCGCCGAACTCCATTATCAATTTTTGTTTCCTTTTTATTTTTCGTCTTTTATTTATTTGTGTTGGCTTATTTTCGTTTGGAGTAGTGCTTGTCATATTTATTGGAAGGGTATTTTTGTCCGCTGCGTTTTGATGTTCTACCCCAACAAAGAGTACTCTTTTCCATTTTATAACTTTTAATCTTTAAGGCTCATTCTTACAATTTTTCACCCCAACTGAGATTTGTTTTTCTCGTTCTTTTTACATTACATTTGCAGTTCATATTTACGACAAAACATTATTTCCTGTGGACATTTTAATGTATAGGCTCCATCTTAAAAATCATTTGTGTCTATAGATTGGAGCCTTCACAACCTGATGTAGGGAAGCCTACGAATGGAAAAGAATAAACGAGATACTCTCTCGATAAAATTCACAAAACTCACGAATATCTTATTTCATTTCAATAATCAACTGATGAAAATAAACTAAAGGGAGTCCTTTATATAAGGCTCCTAACCCTGGACCTTAACTTGTCCAACAAGACAAGAACTCTTACTAAATATTAAACAATAATATTAAATTACTAACTTACTCTCTAAGACACCTATTAAATAATAATAATAATAATAATAATAATAATAATAATAATAATAATAATAATAATAATAATAATAATAACAATAATGATAATAATAATAGATACTAATCTACACCATTCTCCTCCGGTTCAGAAGGCTTCGCCCTCGAAGCCGATGTGCTCCGTGGCCGGCGTGTGGTGTCGAACTCACGGGAGGAAATCCCATCGTTTTTCCCGGTCGAACACGAAGGATGAATGTCGTCCAACAATCCCGATGGTAAACATAATCATGGGAAAGGATTGAATTGCTGCAAAGGCACATGTACACGCCTCCATATGCATAACCCACACAGTGGAATTAACACCAAATATACCACATCGTTCACCGCACTCAAATCCATAGCTACGGCCAAGCATCTCGTTGTTGAGAGACTTCCGGATAGACAATCGGAAAATGGTCCACCAGTTATTGAGCCTCGGAGTCGGCTCCCAAAAATCATTGTTGGCCAAGATACTCCAAACATCGGGTTTCAATGACAGCATCCCCGTCAAAGGCTCAACTTCTGCGACATCCCACACGGGACCCATATTGCCGCAAAAATATGTCTCCGTCACCGGAGGCTCCTCATCGAAAATAGGCGGACCGTCGTACAATAGTCCATCATCTTCCTCAAAAATCGCACTCTGTTGCCGCACATCTTGGTCGTCGTGTGCAACAACGAGCTTAGTCTCGACAGGCGGAAGCGGCCACTCTCCAAAGGGATCCACCTCCGAGATGGTCTCCTCGCCGTCTGCATCGCCGGGCGGCGGTTGTGGAGATCCCCGACGGGGCGCCCCGCCTGGATCACGACCTCCACTTCCTCCGTGAACTCCCCCGCGCACACCCCGGTCGCCGGCAGCACGGTTCATCTGCAAATCCCAGATCTCGTTGTTAAGCGTCAAACACAAATCCTCGATCCCCATCGAAAGATCTGCAAATCAATCAGTGAAACGCACGTCCAACTGTTCAAATCGGTAGTCGATCTGTTGAAACCGATCGTTGAAGGTTGCATCACATCGTTTGTTTGCGGCATCTTGTCGTACCGGCGACATCGCGAATCGTACTGACTGTTGATACCAACTGATGTAGGGGAAGCATATGAGTGGGAAAAATAAACGAACGAGATACTCTCTCGATAAAATTCACAAAACTTACAAATATCTTATTTCATTTCAATAATCAACTGATGAAAATAAACTAAAGGGGGTCCTTTATATAAGGCTCCTAATAATAATAATAATAATAATAATAATAATAATGATAATAATAATAGATACTAATCTACACCACAGCCCCGACATATTCCACTGGGCTCCCAGTCTTCCAAAGAGAAGAAGCCGAAAGATAATGAGACAGATTATAAGGAAAATTGCTTCCAAGCAATTAGATTGCGCTTGGGGACTATCAGCACACTTGCAGATCCTGGTGTGATTGATCAGCTTAGGGGGTGATTGTTTATCAATTCATCTAAAATTAATTGGTTTTTTTTAACTATAGTTACTTTTAAAAAAGTTAGTATGGTTAGTTGTTAGTGGATATATTAAAATAATATTTAAAATAAAATAAGTAAAGTTGATATGATGTAAAGTAAGAGAAAATTGATTGGAAATGGTGGTTAGTTAAAATTATGTGAGTGGAATTAAAGTTGATGTGATGTGTAAGAATGATTGGTTGGTATTATTTAATTATATTGGTAAATGGAGATAGTGGAGTTGAGTTAAAGTTGAGTTAAAGTTGAGTTTTGATTGGTTTTTTTTGAATTGGATTGATAAACAATCACACCCTTATAGACTGGCTCATTGTTAAATTTGGCTTCTCTAAGACTATTAGTGAAATGCCATTTCGCCCCTTCATGATGACTCTTTGTCTTGTATTTNTAGTTTTCTTCTTTAAGGGAGTCATCGGATGGTTCCCTTATGAAGTCATCTATAACTTTATGTATTGACATGTGTTCAATGTGTATTTATTGCAGGACATGTGTCAATACATCATTTGTGGATAACTATGTATGGCTCCATAAGACGAGCCATGTAATGGCTCCATAACAAAACCGTATAGCTACATGCGACTTTAATCCGTATTTTTCATTGCGTAAATAACATTTCGTGTGGCATAGGCTAATATGAATATGGAAAGGTTTACTTCATAAAAGTATTATATATATTTGATACATAAAGAATAACCAGTAATTCAAATAAAAGTTCAATATCACATATTCAATCCAAACAATAACATGGAGAATATTATTCTTTACATAACCTTATATACAAATAACTTGATATGAACATTAAACAATAAAACTCAAAATAATTTAATTTAAGCTATTAAAATATATTTTTATCATTAGTTTAATTTAATGCCTTTAATTTGAAATCAATTTTAAGTTTTTAAAATTTTCACAAATATGGACAAATTTTCAATATTTTAATTTTTAGATACTGTAACTTGAGAATAACGCAAATAGCTTAAAAATGTGTAAGTGTAAAAAAATGCAAAATAGCATGTCACATCAACATTTAGCATAATTATTCTGGGCAAAACACAAAATTTTATGCCCTACAATGCGATTTTGAATAGTTTTACGTTGTTTCTCATTATTTAGCGCGCTCGAAACGCTTTTTAAAACATTATCATACACTCGAGTACGCTAAAATAGTTATCACAACATAATTAAATCACCAATCAATACAAAATAATATTATATTCGAGAATCGATTATCCTTCCAAGGCCATGCAAAATTTTTCTATATCAAATTTCAATAGAGCAAACAATCTAAACAGAAGACAGAGTACACACACAAAATGAGAATTTTTCTATATCAAAATTATATTGAGCAAACAATCTAAATAGAAGACAGAGTACACACACACACACACACAAAAAAAAAAAGGAAAAAGAAAAAAGTCCAGGACCCGATGACCCAATTCTTGAGAAGATATTGGTATCAAAAGCCAAGTAGCCAACAAGGACTGCTCAAAGTGGTGTCAGGATATATGAATCATTCAGTGATCACCAAACATCTCTCAGGTACCGACCATCCATTTGGAGTTTCTTCACAATGGCCTCCGCTTTTGATGAATCCACATTTTCCTGGTAATGTTATTATCCAGCAAACGAAATTGGTTAGTTTCATATAAACACGATCCAGTAAATCTTATTCGACAATCTTTACAATCCTCAGTAAATAAGCCCCCCTTATGCTGCGCTTGCAAGTCTGACTGTGGCATGTCCAGAATATATGAATATTTTTAACTTATTAAATTGAATCTCCACATGAAATTAAGGTCAATGGTAAGAGCATCTCTAATGCATTCTTTTGAAAGGGTAAAAAGTTATCCACCTAATCTAGATAGAAAGTGTGTGAATAATTTATTCTCCAATGCATTAGATTATGGGTCCTTTCATGCGTATGTGTAAAAAATTAATGTTAACATTGTCAAGCTCACTTTCTAATTTCTCACATTATTTCTAACATGATCACTCATCATTTTGATAATTATTTGACACAAATTTTGAGCTTTTCATAAACTTGGAAAAATCTCACCCTTACATTTATCCAATAAAACATTTGAGAACTTATTTGAATACAGTATAATTATTTGATGAGTTACAACTAAAATTTAAAAAATTTATCAATAATAATGTCCTTAAAAGTAAAATATTATGTTCATGATATTTGTTTGTTGAGTTATTGCAATTTTAATATTTTGTTGTTTTATTTTGAACCAATTAAAAAATATTTATTGTGTGGTTATACATATTGTAACTGAGAAATTATTGAATAAATAATAATTTTATAAATTTGATGATATAAATAAAAATTAACTGAATCAACAAAAAATAACATCATGCATATAATTATTGGAATTTGTGGTTTTTTTCTAATATACTCTTTGATTTTATTAATAATTGAATAAATCCACATATACAAATTGTATGGTTGTTGAATGGATGCATTGGAGACAACAATTCAAGTGAAAGTCCTATTCTTTTAACATTCAGTTCATGTAGATTAGACATTAATCCATTGATTGACATGTGTTCAAATTTAATTAATGTTGAAAGTTGAGCATTGGAGATGCTATAAATAAAGACACTTCTGTTAATGCATAGTGCATGTACACATTGCTAAAAACCTGGTTTTGGACAATGGTGTGTAATGTGCGGTGAACATCTCTGGCCATCCCCTTTGCATCCCCACATACATAGATATAACCCTCTTGAGAAATCAAACTCCATATTTGAGCAGCCTGCACGAAACAAAACATTCTTAAGTATTTACACTTTGCTATCAACGTGGGCTATATTTAAAGTTTTGGTAGCTCAAAAATCACACAACTTGATCTGACTGCGCATCATATTATGAAATGCCTGTTTTTAGTCTATGACACTCGAGAGGAGGTTCTAACATACAAGAATATTCAGTTTTCAAGGTATTATATTATCACTTTAGCACAAAGAACTTAACATGCTGGCAAAAAGTTCTTACAGATTGATAAGAGTCAAGGGTTAAAGAAAAGAACAAATCTGATAAGATATTTAGCGACATCACGAGCGCCGAAATGGGCAGAAACTTATCGCCCAAGCCTAAAGCCAAAAATCCTTTTCAACAAAAGATAACTCTGGGTAACAACCAATAGTACTGAATTGGTGATAATGGATATTCTGACCCCATGGCCCCAAAAACTCAATTATTAGTAAACTGAAATATCAAATCAATCTTTAAAAGAGATTTCCTAGTTTACTTTGGTAAGGATACGACAAACAATCATTGCTGAACATAGAGATGGCTTTGCTTGCAGAGCTTTAAGTAACTTTGTTTGGGCAAAAAATGAAAGTTGAGCACATGTGAAATCTGGTTCATGCTTTGATAACATCACCTCCCACAAATTACTATGCCAAAAGGCGAAATTAAACCCTTGAAATTTGTTATTTATCCTCTTTCAATGCTCCAATCAATGAGCTTTCCACCAAAAAGCCATGTGTGAAGGANTGAAAAAAAAAAAAAAAAAAAAAATCTGTGACATTAATCATCTCCAAGTGCGGATTGAGAAAACAAATTGGAACTTTTGATCAGTGCCAAGATTGAAATTTCAGGGTGCATGCAAGGCCCCTAGCAATATTGGGAGACAGTAATTCTAGTGAAGAAGCCTACCATAGTTACAAACTGAAAAGAACAAAATGACTTAGTAGTAGCCAACCTTTTCCATCATTTTATGTTGAACATATTCCTTTTGTGGTCCCTCCCTTGAGAATGCAACAATGAGCTCCGATATTACTCCTTCATCCACAAACTCATTTAGCTCACTTTCATAAATAAAATCCTACAACGGGAAAACAACGATCCAGAGAGCAATACAATCAAAAGAAGGTTATTGACCCGCAAATACCTAATTCATATAAGCTACTGAGGCAGGAGCAAATATCCATACCATTCGGCGATTCCTACAACCGAAAAACAGTGGACCAGGCCCAAGTTGAGCACCTTCCTTTTTAAGAGCTAATCGTTCCTGGAAAGCAATGTTCTTCATAAAAGTCCTATTCATAAGATTAATAATGAAAATTTGGTACTCATCATGTTACCTGTAGAAATCCTCTGAAGGGTGCCAAACCAGTCCCAGGTCCCACCATGATTATAGGAATAGAAGGGTCAGCTGGCAACTTGAAATTAGATGGCCTGATAAAAATAGGAGCCCAGCTACAGTCACCAAGCTTATCCAAGGGAACTGCATTCTGGCCATAAATTTTGGATAGATCCATCAGACATTTTAGAAATAGTGCATGAACAGTCCATCAACTTTGACATTTAAAAACAACCGACCCAACTACAGGCGAAGTCTGAACTACCCCTAATCCAATGAGTCATACAAACATAGAACTCAGTGACAGGGACTCACTTTCAGGTAATCCATAAACAACACCTTGAAGAGCCTTAAAACAATAGATTAATATCAAATCTTGATTGGTGGATGGATGTGAGATCGATCTCTCTCTCTCTCTCTCTCTCTCTCTCTCTCTCTCTCTCTCTACACACACACACACACTTATAGAAGGAGCGATTTTGTAAAAAAATGAATGGACTGAAAAGTCCTAATGTTTCATATATTTTTTAGGGAAAAATTGTAATATGTATCTCAATTAATTACAATTATAATTAAATATCACAATAGAATAGAATTCTAACGAAAACAAAACTATTTTTAACAAAAAACCGAAACAAGATAGATTTAAATAGATAAAACAAAATCTTAATTTATATTTTAGCATAAATTAGCCGGATGCAATGATTAACTTTTACCATTCTACTAGGCCAAGAAAATATTTTGTTTTTCTTCGTTTGTTCTATTCTCAATATAAATTTTCAAGAATCTGGTTCAAAAAATGAAAAGAAAAAAAAAAAAGAGGAAAAAAATCTTAATGATTTTTACATATTTTCTTATTAGTAAGATCCTCTCATTTAATAGTAGTAATTTAATAGATGTTAGATAGTTATTCTAAGGACTAAAAAATCTATTACCAAACCTATGTGGTTATTTCTTAAAAGTAGTGGATAATCTATCACAGAATTTGCAACTTAGCAACATACCATATTTTCTTTTACACTCAATCTTATATGAATGTTGAAATTAAGATAATTTTCTTGTCCAAACAAAATTCTTTCTAATGAAATAATAATATTATAATATTCTAAGGGATATTGAATAATTAAACTGAGTTCATCTTCATATTTTTTTAATTTTTTTATGTTGTTCTTATCGTGTTTTAAATACTAATAATAAAAAATAAATTGAAAAAGGAGATTTAAAGCGTCTGGATAATATTGAATTGCATCATGATACTTTACTATAAGTAGTGTAGAACAAAAAGAAAAGTGGTGCAATGCCTCTTTTCAATTTCGCAAGATACAAATTAAGTAAAGTATTATAAAAATTCACTAAATATACGTTGAAGTGTTCAACAAAATAAATAATACAAAATTGCAAAATTTCTTCCGTAATTTAGGTCATGTGATACTTTTGATCACCAATTTTTGCAATTGTATAAAAGTTCACTAACCAAATCGCAAATATACTGGCCAATCACATGCTTTAGTGAGCTTTTTTTTTATTTTGGCAATTAAGTTCTGGTAGTTTTTGCTTAATTTTCCAATTTTCATGCATACAGTTCCTTTCTATCATGACTTTAAAATATTATCATTATTTAAAAATTATATTTCCATTTTCAAAACATTTGACACATTTCGTAATATAATTATTTTGTTTGATTATTAAAAAATAATAATCCAAAGTTTTGAATAAACCATATGAAAATATTTTTAAAATCACAAAATAATAGTAATTATGCATCACGTGCACAAAAATCCATAAAGTTCTTTTATTAATTTATTTATTTTATTAGAATACTTTCACTTGGTACAAGGAGAAACAAAAAATACAACACAACATATAAAAAGACAATATTGTGCGTCATAGCAAGTTTGATGATTGTCTTATAACCTTGCATTCTAATTGATACGAGGACTAATTGAAGTTGTATGTTCAATATCTACTCAGGTTCCTGTTTGTGTTATATTTTCCACTTCTAAAATGTTTGTAAGACAACACAGAAAGGTCAAAGTCTAGAAAGGTGGAGGCAAGTTTTTCAAGTTTGCAAGAGTTCAAACACAAACAAGCAATTCTTTCCAAAGAAATAAGTATAGTTTGCTACATACCTTCATCCAAGTAGAACACACTCCTTTATGAATTCGGCCAGTGGGACTTGGACCATAAACTACAGCACAGGTCACATGAACACGACTTGGAGCGAATCTACACTCAATGAGGTCAATCCACTCTTTAGAGATAAATTTTACGCTAAATCACAGGCAATCAATTGCACAGGTCTTTAAAATAGTCCAATTTTGGCACTTTAATAGACAGATCAATTAAATATACTCAAATATAAACTCACCTAGGAGATGATGAAATAGAATAATAGCGTGGCTGCAGACGTGGAGCCACTGCTGCAAAAAATACACCAAGAGGAGGTTTTGATGAAGGAAATTCGGCCATGACCTCAAGGAGACTTCTCTGACTACCAATAACCCATTGTGCATATTCATCCTGAAGGAACATAGGGATACATCCAATACCAGGAAATATATGACAAAGCAGAAAGCAAAAAGAACAAGATGAAGTACAAGCTAGTTCACCTTTCCCTGAGGAGATGCCAAGAATTTAAGCTTTTCTGCTTCACTGGTATCTGAAGCATGAGCAGCTAACGCAACCAAAGCAGCCTGATGATTTGAAGGGTTTTGAGATGACAAAACATTTCACAGGAAGAAGGGGTTGGGAAAAGAACCCGAAGGAACAAAAAACTTTGCACCTTTCGAGGAGGATTTAACAGATCTGCATAACGTGCTAGAGCAGTATGAAGCGAGCAAGGTCCAGGAAATGGAGGTGGCAATGAACCTCTAAGGGAGGAACCATCCTCTTTGTCAGAGTGGATAGAAAATAGTAAATCCAAAGGCTGTCCTAATAATTTTGCTGCTTCTTCAACAGTACCACTACAATTTTCGGCAAAGACACCCACGTGATCACCAGTTCCATACCTGAACAAGAAAAAACAGAAAGGATAACGATGCCAAAATTCCAAATGAAAGGATTGAATAAAAAACAGAAACTAGGGCAGAATAGCAAGTGTAATAACAAAATTGTGCTCGAGTTGGGTAAAATGAAATCCACTATCTTAGTTCTCTTTAGAGAGAGGAGAAAAAAAATCAAATAAAGAAATAAAAAATAAAAATAATTATAACTTGAGATCCTATTGCAATCACAACATCCAGTCCCATAATGCCATGAACATCAATTCTCAGTATATTTCAAATTACAATAAGGGTTACTATAATAGGAGTTAGGATAATGCTATTATACATACTGAGGGTGCGGTTTTGTATACTGGATAGTTTTCACCATGTATATCCAGGTGGTAACAAGTTGATCTGACACGATCCATCATTTAGGTCGAAATCTAGACTATCGTACGAGCCAAGAACGGGGTCACAAATGAGGTTTTTAAAATTTTCATGTCTGAATCACCCTTCGATCATGCTCCAACAATGAGTCAAGATAACAAAATACTTTATCAGAAAAAAGGGCCAGAATGAGACTTGATATGATTTTAACAGTATATCCTTCAAACTACATTCTTCCAGTAAGGAGGATGACCACAGTTTGAAAATTAAGATAGAACAACCAAATTTAGTTATGTAACTGAATGTCTGTTACATGTATTTAGAAATTACATTCTCTGTAGATACAGTGATACAGAAGTTTTTTCAAATTATTGTTCACTATTTTAATGATTTCCACAATATAGTTCATTCACAGAATTAAGATATTTGAAAAGAGCTCCAATTCTTATTTGTGAATTCGAAGCCCAGCCTGCAGCAAGTTGGTTTATTGGTTACAGTGACAAATGGATGTGAAGATCAACAATCGAGGTTTCCAAAAGTAGGACCACAATCTTTACATGGTCGAAGATTTCCTCTCAATTTTCTCAGTAAGTGATAAACTAGATCCTCATGATACACGCACAAATAGCACCTATCACATCTACTTTCTGATCTAACCAAAGAAAGGAAAAAAAAAAAGGAAAAAAATATTCGAGCACGTATAAGTTAAATCTAAGACCTTAGAGAATAGTGATACTTTGGGTATAAGAAGATGGCAGAAAATCTGACAGACTTACACTATACCAGTTCCAGACAAATCAAACTCCAGGTGTATGCAAGAGCGATCAGATTCGGAGGTGTGCAGCTCTCTTTGAACAGCAACATTGGCTCTTCAGAGAAGTAAATAATGACCCAGTCAGTAATCATATAAGTAAATACATACAAACAGAATAAAGTACCTGCATGGATGGTGAACATCATATGAAGCATCCCCATTAGCAACAACTGCATGGTTATCATCATAGGATGTCGTTCCCGGATTACACACCACAACTCTGTATTCTGGAATTGCAGCTGTGTATGGAGTAGGCGCCGAGTCTGCATCATCGGTGCCCCTGAGTATTAGATCTAATTCAACCCAAAGTTGCTCCCTCCTATAATTGAAAGGGATTCTCATGATTAGAACAGCAGGAATTCCTATTATATGTGAATGTTCATTAGTTTCAGAATTCATATAAGCATGAACTATA